AATACATTGTTGTCTATTCAAACATACAAAGTGCGTTTCAGCCAATCAGCTTGGGCAATTTCACTTAGTTAATATTAGGCACGCGTTGGTGCTATTCTTAAAAAAGGGGTGACGGCATACCATGTGTAATTTCAGTCAGTAGCTTAAGTTATGTAATTGATTTTTCATTAAGTTTTCACAAATTTCCCTTCTGCATTAAATGATATTAATTTCCTGTGATATTTTGATAAATGAACCTTGCAAATAGATTAATAATTAGAAAAATAAATTATAGGCTAAATCAACACCCCTTTTTACTACTTCTGAAACATAAACTAGTCAAAGTAGGTTCACTGGCAAAATTTCATTACCATGACATCCATGTAAATAAAACACAAACCTAAAATCAGTGAGATTAACATGAGTGAGATTATCAGTCATTAACATATAGGCTAGATATGATGTATTTATTTTTTCATTTAGATTAATCCAAAGTTTAATACATCTCAATGAATGTTATTTATGTCTACTGACCAGGGCCATGAGTTGCAATAATTATAAACGATTATAAGGCCATAAGTAAATTATTTGTACAGGAAAACAAAAACAAAGGTCAGATAAAACACAGAGTAGTTTGATTTGATGAAGAGAAAGCACTTTTATGGCCCAAAATCATAATTAGGGATGCAAAACATGCAAATAAAATTCTAAAGTGAGAATATGGTGGCTACTTTTTTTAAATCTTATTTAACATTTTATATGGATATGGAATACTATGATAATTTATTAATGGAAAAGAACTTCACATACAGGGTGTCCAAAAAAACAGGACCGTAAGAAACTTGAATAAAACGGTCAATTTTGCATATTTTGCCTTGAAATTTCGGAATTATTTAGTTTATTCAATGTGAATTTTTTTGTGAAAGTTTGATAATAATCTACCTATTGAGTCAAAAACTACAGCTCCTTACAAAACATGCCCCAAATGTGCAAATCTCATCTCTATGCACAATTCAATCCAGCGAACAAAGATGTTGATGATCCTCCTACACACATGTCTTTCTGAATGAATAAGTTTGTTCCAAGAACAATTGCTGATGAAGTGTTACAGCATCCATTGCATTCTGAACAATGCACTCCCTGGGTGGCAATGAGGAAACATGGAATCATTAGTCCTTTTTGGTTCGAAGGTGACTGGGGACTTGCTATCACCATGAACAAGGACCAGTAAGTTCTCACCAAGTTTTGGAGGTCATTAAGCACCAGAAGGGACATCTAAGGAGATAATCACTCAGGCAGTGGTTTCAACAAGCCAATACCACCCCAACACTGCAAATGATATGCTGAAATGGTTTAGGCAATGCTTTGGTGGTCAGCTCATCAGTTGCAGAACGCAAACCATATGGGCAGCTCATTCGCCTGATCTAAATCCCCCAATGTTTTTATCTTTGAGGATTTCTCAAAGCCAATGTGTATACTGACAGGCCCCTAACAATCTTAAGAGGGCAATAACTACCCCAATATTTACCATCCACATTAATGTGTATAGGTAAGGGTCATTAACAACTTTGTTCGCACGATTCGTTTGTGCATAGAGAGCAGAAGTGCCCACTTTGAGCATGTTTTGTAAAGGACTGTAGTTTTTGACACAATTAACAGATTATCATCAAACTTGCAGAACAAAATTCACATTGAATGAACTAAATAATTCTACAATTTCAAGGCAAAATATGCAAAATTGACCGAGTTATTCAACTTTCTTACGGTCCTGTTTTTTTTGGACACCCTGTAGATAAAATCAATACATAACGAAATACAATTCCCAGGAAAATCAAAGCACTCAAGAGTGATTTATGGAATAAAAAAATAGGCTATTTCACATTTTTGAGAAGGCCATTCAACATTAATTATATGTTGAAGTACTGACAAGAGTCCAAATCTTAGGAGAGTTGGACTTCAATAGTATAGTAAAGTACAAAAAGAGAGACCAATAAAATAACAATATTTTAGCTTCTCATAATCTTTTCAACAAAAAGATGCAGTATGGGAACATTTTTTTTAAATTAAGTCAAGAACCTTTGTCATTTTTGAATTGGAATTGTTAGAAGTATACAAACAAGCACTCAATTTTGAGTTTTGGTTTCTGAAAAAATCCTAAATCATAACAGGGATTGAACACTAAACATAATGCATTACACTCTGAATGGCTCTATTTATTGTTGACAGTCCTACAGACCTGAGTTGAAATAAAGAAAGAGAGGATTTACAAATGTTAGACTATGTTATATATTTTTGAGATCATTTATTACATTTATTTAGAAGACATAATAACATGTAAATGCTAACTGTAAAATAACTATGACAATAAAATGAATAGAAGGCTGAATGTATGTAACTCTTCCAATCAATGAGCTTAGATACAGAATACGAATATGTTATCTCAGACACACAGGTGGAGAAAAAATATCCACTAGGCCTAATTATAAGAGTTGAGGCCAAACATTTGAATGGAAGTGTAAATAAGAGGTACAAAGGGAATTAAACTTTAAGGTGTTTTAATTAAACAATTGCAAAATTCTGGATGTTTAATGAAATAAGACTTTGTAAATAATAGCAAGAAACATAACAACATACTATTGGTGAGATTGGAAATATGAACAACTGTTAGATGCATTATCAGATTGTGTTGATTGTGCAGTTCAAATATTGTTCAAGAAGATGATACTGTACTCCTGGTATATTCCTCTGCTATCAGTTTTAACAAAATTGAATATGGTTATAAAATCATGCAACATAGTCTTGTAGGGAATATAGGGTAAGTTAAGTTTATAAAGTTTGTGAATTCAAACAATATTGATTTTTCAACTTGAGGCATCTGCTTAGAAATATATACAGGAGTAAAGTTAGTACATATTCCAATGAGAAAAAGTATATTTTATATTAGAGTAATAGTGTCAAGAACACCAAGAGGTATGTTTCCTCAACCGAGAGTAGAGTTTTTAGCAGTGTCTAGAAGCCAAGCACAGTTCTACTGCATGCTAACTAATAGGCCCAAGTGGCTGTGTACAATTATACTGGCAGAATGGGTGAGGGTGAGAGTTCACTACAAAGGCTCTAGTTGTTAAGCAGGGTTAGGAAAGGCACAGCACAAACCTGGAAATACAAAAACATAAAATGTAACATGCATTGTATTACAAGGTATTAATTTAGGGATGAAGTATGAGTATTGTATATTATGATAAAAATAGATATCATTAAACCTAAATCAAAATATGATAATATAAATACCAGTAATAGTAAAAAATATTATTGACAATATGAATGATTTATCTAACTTAAACCCCACACTCTTTCATGAAATATAAAATTTAGACCATTTGTATTGACTGTTAAGTAAGTGGAGTGAGTAGAGCTCATTATAGGTTCAGCTACAGTGCACTACATGTAACAGGCAAGGTTTTGATTTCTTGTTTATTATTCAGTGATTGAAGGGGTGAAATAGGGTCACTAGTTCAGCTTTAATGAACTGCATGACAGTCAATCGTCTCTTGGGTTACAATAGTTTCTGAAAGTGTCAATTCTTGTAAAACAGTATATTCTTTAAAATAATAAAAAAATAATTCTAGTGTGTTGATACATTAAACATAAAAAAATCATCAACTGTTTACTATAAGTATATCTATAATTGTTTATGTTGTTAAATTTGTTGTAATGGTAATCAATATTGCAGTAAAATTGCTATATACATATTTATATATATATATAAGTATGGATTCTAAGTGTGCTTATGAGAAATAAGTGTAAGATATATTTAATAAAACAATTATAACAATTGAAAATATATGTATCAATGGCCTTCAACAGCACTGGCATGAATGACAATAAAGAATGATATCAATTACAATGTAAGGTATTTTGTTAAATGATCTACATAAATCTGCATGTTTTAGTTTATCCATGAATCTACTCTGATTATTAATATCTTTTGCAAAGCATTCAGATCTCCTCTTAAGCCGACATAAGAAGATCTACTCTTATGCCGGGCATAAGAACAGATCTACCCTTATGCCGGGCATGAGAACAGATCTACTCTTATGCCGGGCATAAGAACAGATCTACTCTTATGCCGGGCATAAGAACAGATCTACTCTTATGCCGGGCATAAGAACAGATCTACTCTTATGCCGGGCATAAGAACAGATCTACTCTTATGCCGGGCATAAGAACAGATCTACTCTTATGCCGGGCATAAGAACAGATCTACTCTTATGCCGGGCATAAGAACAGATCTACTCTTATGCCGGGCATAAGAACAGATCTACTCTTATGCCCGGCATAAGAATTGAACCTAATTTGCCCAAACCTCATGTTTGCTGAAGTCCGAGTATTTGTAGGATTCCGAGTTCAAATGTCGGGGTGTTCATTGTGTATTGAACATATTTGAGTGTCAAATGTTGACCAATAATATTTCTTAAGAAAACATAGTCATCTAGATTACATAGTAATCAAATATAAACCAAGCACTTAAAATGGGCTGATTCTAAAAGTGTTTGACACATGGCGGTGTTGGATTTCTAATATACCTGCATTATGTTTATATACAAAATATAATAATGAAAAAAGTCACTTTATTATTTATTTATAAATATTTAATTATAAAATGTCACACAATGGCTGTCACATTTTGAAATCAGGCTTTTATCTTAATTAAACTTAGGCTAGAAAGAATCAATAATATGTTTCACATATCTCCACTTCCCTGTCTTTTTCAAACTACATAAATAAACAAGGTCCATGCAACATAAAAGGAGAAACATTGATTCTAGCATACTCCATCTATTTTAAGTGATATCTGTTTTATTGTACACTGTACATAGAAATAATAATACAATGCTTCATAATTTCATCTATAAAAACAAAGGAGACTATAAACAAAGAATTGAATTATTCTAGCCTTGGTGAATAATATATGAATATAGATACCTTCACTCAGGCAATCAAATCATCTTTGCCTGGTCAAGTTCTAATCAATGATATGACACTCAAGCAAGCAAAGAAGGGCAAAATATGGCAATACATTGAACGGTGTCTTTATTTCACATGAATTAGTCAATTTAATGTATTTAGTCAATATTGGGCACAAACCTGGTACAGCACATTAAAAATATTTTCAATAGAAAAAAATGACTTAGAACATCAAAGTGTGTGATACGGATTATACTTGGTTGAAATGTCGGACATGGGCCGATAATGTACATGGTGTCCAATGTAATGTTATGTAAAAGTAACAATTAATCCATATCACACACCATCAGATTCCAGTGTTTGAATATTGTGTAAAATATAAATACAGATATCCTTTCCATGTAACCTCTTCACCAAGCATCGTTAATCCCAATCAAATGTCTGACCTATCATTTGGAAAAGCTTTTTATTATGCGGTTGGAAGAATTTTTTCAGTTTATGTAATACAAAAGGGTCAATGTTAGGGTGCTTCCTGCCTTTTCCTTCAGCAAGGCATCTTTCAACGCCATCTTTCTTAATACAATGAAATCCCCGAGTTTTATTGAAGTAAAAAGTATCTGGTGTAACAAACCGTTCCAGACCAAGAAACTTTTCAACTTTGGCAATTTCCATGGCTGGGTTAGATATGAGTTTATCACCATCAACAATATGAATTTGGTTCCTATTGAACACACGGAAGTAATTCTCCAAGTATTTCTGATAAATACTTATTTGCACTGCCATATATTTAGTATTAACCTCCAATGTGATTGGATCCATCACAAGGTGCTCAAACCTTTCAGTCGTTAAGTTTTGTTTCAGTCTTTTTTGGTAGATTTGTGTATAGTCTGAAATAGTTCTTGTAACTGGATTGCGAAATATCACTAAAAGTTTTACACTGGAATTGAAATTATATATCCGCTCTGGTACTTTGTCTGTTATAAAATATGCTGGCGATTTCTCTATTGTGATTTCTTCTGGATAGGAATAAGGCATCCTATTAAGGTACCAGTCTCTACCTTTGGCATAGTTTGTTGCATTATCAAAGTAATGGACTTCGTGTGATGCTGCTACAACATTGGGATGGATATTGACAAAGTCCAGCAGAGCCCGGGTGCCACATTTACGCACCCCAATGATTATAGCTTTGGGGAGGCGGTGTTCTGTACCCTCAGGGTGCTGACGACCCTCAGAATCTGTTAACATTTTCGGATAAAACAAACTATCGGGACAAACAGTGTCCACCACAAGTGATAGGTCTATAACTTGGGTCCATGTAAGAGTTAACACTGTTAATAATAATCCAATGCAGAAAATAAGTCTTTTCCTGTTACAATGACTGAAGATGCATCCTTTATGTACAACATTGAGATTCCCGGGATCTATGCTGACTTTCATTGTATAGCGTGGCGAAGAAACCAAAGGCTCCTGGTCATCGTTCATATTACTGTGGTGATGTTTATTCAAGATGGCTGCCGAGTACGACGTCATCTGTAGCGATCACGACTGTATCATCTGTTATGGAACAACAAAGAAACTACCAGGTTTAGGATGAATAGAAATGAAAGAATCTACAATTTATATGTTACTGCAATCCACACTGTTTAATTTAGAATATATGCCTAAATTAAAAACAGAATCACAGATTCACACACACACACACAAACACAATCAAGAGCCTAAGATAATTAATCAGGAGCCTAAGATAATTAAAAGCCTGGTTAATTAGAGCATCAAACATGGAGGGAGTGATGCAATAGATGCAGAGACAAGTCTGCAACTAGGATTAGATTAAGGGTGTGAAAATCAGCATGATCCTAGCAAGCTTGACTGTTTTCCTATATCATGTGCTCTTGAATGTATGAAAGGAGAGAAAGTTGGTGCAAATCTAAGAAAACAAATTTTAATAGTGCCAAAGAAGTTTCTTCTGTTATTTATGAACTTATCATTAATATTTATGTTTCTTTCATGTAAGAAACTTGACTTATTCAAGACCCCAAATCCAGACAGTCACTCATCATCTAAATATCCAAAAACCAGATTATTATAAAAAGATTTGTAAACATAAACTTTAAATGATCTATTTTTTAGTCTGCTTCATTCTGCACGCAATTCTGGATTTGTCCTGGGTGTCCTTGATAAAGGTTTGGTCTGGTTTGAATAAGCATGTAAATACTCCCAGACCAGAGAAAGTGAAGAAAATAATAAATCTTGCTTGTAAAACTATAGCCAACCTGATAGGGTATTCAAAATAGTTTGCTGTATAACTTTTATGGAATCATTAACGCATAAACACAACCTTGTATTTGTCCTAGATTCCTTTAAAGGCTGTTGATTGAAATCTAAGGTACTTACATTTGTTTGAAACATTTCAGAAGCTAGAGTACCTCGTGAACCTACACACCCTACACTGACAAATGAGAATTTTTTGAACTGCAGTCTGTGTTCACTGGTATGTAAATGAATAAACCAGTACAATACTTAACCCAAAAAATTATTATAATTCATGGATATTTCAAAATCTTCTTCAAGAGAATAAAAAACAAAATCAAATATTTTGAACGCTTTTTGATATTATACTTTTTGAATGAGAAAGCTTTGTACTTACTGTTTTTTAAACATTTCTCTCATACTTTAATAAAGCAGAGCCATTATAATGATTCTCAATACATATTTATATCATCTTCACTGTCTTGAGAAAGTATTGAATAATTTAAATAAGAAAACTTCATACCTTCTGGTATATATAGAGAAACCTTTCTATCCAAAGTTAAACAAAGAGAATCCATCAATGATTCATGATAATCCATGATTGTATCATCATCATTGTCTCGAGAAAATATTGAGCTATTCATTATATCTCAAAACTATAGAACTTCGGTCAGGATATAACATAAAACAATGTCTGAATTTTCCCATGTCTCAGTCTCCTCAGTAAATAAAGTATTCCTGAACATATTAACATTTAATTCTTCTCCTATACTTTTGATTTTTTATTTATTTAAGTGATCTCAAGACTGGTTGAAAATCTTAAAATAGATTTTGTGCAATTCAAGGAGTTCTACTTCCTATCCAGTACTAATCCAATTACTGTAAACACAGTATGTTGGTAGCATGTTAATCCAGTAGACTAAGCCTCCCAAGGCTGTGTACATGTACTCCCTGTTTATGTTTATAAGATTCACTTGAGATCGCTCTAAAGTTTCACCATATCAGTCTAATGCGTAGGCACTACTTTTGAGGAGTCATCCCAAATTTTTTTATAATTTCATTCAACAAAGTGGCCTTTATAACCTCCCTTATAAACTAAGTATGTTATAAGTAGAATCTAGCATGAAGCATATCAGATTGAGCCTAAATTAATCAGAAGCTACCTCAAATCAAAATAAAAATGAGATATTTCTTAGCTTATGCATTTGAATCAATAAACATGGTTCTAGTAAAATATCAGACTGAAATTTAGATGCTTTATGTCTAATGGTAAAGTTTCAATCCAAATCTTTTTAGACAGTTCTGTAATCATTTGGCTTATTTTTACATGAATTGTGGCTTTTCATCAGTTACAATGTCTTATCAAGACAGCACACAGTCCAGAACACAGATTCAAGATAACAATACTATTAGACCTGTATTAAATATATTCTGAATCCATATCAGTAAGCTTCATTATCCTCTACTATTTATGGATGATTTACAGTTTTGATTCTGATAAGGTCCCGATGATCTCAAATGCATATTTTATGGCCTTTGATCTGAGAATGTGAGACAAATAGGCAGAAAATGCATAAAGTGTGATGACTATATATTCTGATTGGATATCGACTAAATCAAAGTTATCTCTTCTCTGAAGAGTGCAGAGAAAGTCAATCTCTTGTCAAGAGTATACTTATCACTGTATATTTTATATTTTCAAGTAAGAAACTAAAAAATGACCTCATTGTTATCACTAAGTTAACTGATATCTCTAGCAACATATATGCATACCATTAGTATTATGAACAGAAACATCTGAAGTTTTTATTATGATATCATAATAACGAAAAGGTAATCCTCTGATCTACAATTATTTGTAACAAAAACTATGTAAAATTTCCTACTTAATCCACAATTGAACCTTTCACTGAAAAATGATACTGACTGTCTTAAGGAAGTATGAAACGCATGACTTACCATAGACTTTGCAAATGAAAATGTTTAGAAAACTTATATCAGTCCAGATTACTAAAATCATCCATTCCACTCATAACCAAACATATTTCTAAGTAAGCAGATACAAGGTGTTGCCAGGCCAAGCAAGCACTGCTAGCTGTGTAACATACTGTTTAATTCCAGGGGAAATTATTACTAATCTGACATATTTTGACAGCTTCTAACATTACCATATTCGCATCAGGAGGCCAAGTTCAGAACAACATTTGCAACATTCATACCACAATAATCTTATAGGTCTTGTACATATAGATCTTGTATATATTAAGGTTTTCTTATAATATACATTGTACATGGTACTTACCTGTGTTTTGCATCTTACTGGAATATGAACATGCAAGGTATTCACCAAAAAAAGAATGAAATATTTGCTTTATTATACCACATATAACACATCTGCTATAAACATTTCTTCGAAAATTCTCTCTATAAATTATTTCCTTAATAACACAAGTTGAACTATAAATACAAGAGAAAATATAATAGATATAACAATTTAAAAGGCTCCTACCTTTGGTATCCATTTGGTTTGGTTCTTTTAAATATAAAGCACTTTATCTACGAAATATATACTGATTGACAGCAGGTCCCTCGTTATATTTTGACAATAATATGTCCTAAGTAGCCAAGTATTTTTAGAATATATGGATACTTTTTGAAAGTTAAAAAATAAACCAGAGGCTACCAGGACCAAGTATATGATGAATTGATACAAAGTCTGCATTTATATCGAATAATTTATATATATAATTGCCGATTTGAAACGAGCCTGGTTCATTTATTAAATAATTGAAGTAAAATGTTGAATTAATCCAGAACTGTAAATTCACTTCCTTTCTGCTGATTATCAACAAGCAATTTTCTCATTTGCAGGTCAAGCTCTGCACCAATGTGATCTTAACTACTATTATTTTAGCACCAAATCCATTGCCAAAATCAACAATTTTAACTGTTCTTATCTAGATGTTGCTGTGAGAATTCTCAAAATAATTTGGACCACAAAAAACCAACTAATCAACATATTTTCCCCATCAGATCTTGTTGGTTTATTGTAAACAGTAAACACCTTTGGCACCTCAAAATAGTGTTCCATTTGGGAGATGTTCTCTTCATAGGAAACACAACTTCAGAGGGTTCCACTCATAGAAGTTGTTTACTTACAGAGAAAACTCACTTAACTTATTCTGCTGAAGCTGCTACACCTACACAATTAAATTGTAAGATAATTTGAAACTAATGCAGTTTCCACTCTTATTTTCAGATAATGGATTTGTACTTTGAATGTATAGTCCATGACAGTAATGGGGTGAATAATTCAGAGCTTAAAAACACAAAATCTTAATTTAACTTTGACATGTCCAGTGAGTCAGTGACCTTGACCTATAAATGTCATCTTGCTCATAAAATGTCCATGACCCAATTTGAATGACAAAAGAGCTTCAGGGAACTGTAAACAATATTGAATCACAAACCTTAATCTAAATACAGAATTAAACTGTAAAAAGACCCTCTATGACTTTGAATAGTAACATACTTGACCTACGACTGAACCAAACTATGTCCCATTTAAAAGGTTTCGGCAAATTTTGTAAAAAGCTAGTGGTCCAAACATACATATTTGCCAATTACAAACATACATTAACTGTGGTACAACATAATGCAGATATTAAACAGTGCTCAATAAATTTACCATACCCTAGATGCAGTCTGAGCCCCGTATTTGAGGATGAAAAATTACAGAAAATCTGGAGATGGGCAAAGCAAGCGATACCTTGCCCTATAAATGGTTTGATTATTATTATCACAGCACAGAATAAGAACTCCCATATGCTTATTAGCATAATACTGATAAAGCTAAATGCAAATTCTGTGCAACTGTTATATACATCCTCATAGCATAGAATTACTGAGGATTACAAGAACAATAAGGAACTAATTGAGATTGAAGACATTGGTAAAACAGCTGTCAATGTCATGTAAAACTCATCAATTTAGAAATGAAGGCCTATATACTGGCACTATTTGAGCTACTGTTAGAACTATATACTTAGAAACACATATATTTCAGCAACATTTGCGGTAGCAGAAAACTTGTGCAATCTGCAGCTGCCAATCACCAGTATAATTCAAAATAAGAAACATAACCTTACAAAAGCCTGTTAACCTGATCGTTTAGAACTCCAAATGTTTCAGTTTGCGCTTATTCATTCCCCAACAATTCTCTTTTCACAATTATGCTTAAAAGTGCTTTTCAGTTTTTCAACAACTATTTGTAACATTCGATAACTCCAACAAATCATTCACAGATAGTATTTACTCTAAACAATCGCAGTATTTTCTCTGAATGTTGAATATGTTTACTTCAAATAATTTATACAATCGTTCTGAAGCTCATTGTCAAATATGCTGTAGCTAACATTATACAGGGTCAGCATTTATGATACCTGAAGTTATTCATAAAAACTTAACTTGGAATTTACAAATTGTAACACCTGTGACCAATTTATTAATTAATACACTTTTTATCACTGAACTATTATTTACAGTTGTAAATGTCATTGTACAATTTTTTACCTTACCTTGACAATATAGTCATAATATCACGCCCTATAATCAATGTATGCTTTTTAGAGATGCCAAAATAATTTTGAATTTAAAACAGGAACTTTAAAATTAAAAATAATAAAAAAAACTTGACTGTGAGCCAAATATGAGGAAATAAGGTATCAATCCATTCTGATAATCATATCCTTTATGATGGTATAAATCCTCTTTATAGCTGACCTGGATGTGCTTTAGAAGCTGCTGTTGCAGTGGTCATTACCATAGGCCTCGGGAAAAGTAGTAGTAGGATATATACTAAGCTTATTACTACTTTTCCCTCTGGTCATTACATCTTTATCTAGATCAAGATTTGGTACATACCATTTTACAAGTATTTACTGCATAATTAATGTCCTACCTCTTGCTTTGTCAGGCTACATGATCATGAACATAGTATTTGAGCATGGGTCCAATGATGTGAGGAAAGCCTGTTGTGTGTTTTAGACACCTTGCCCTGCTTACACTGATGATGTGAAATAATGTGCCTGCTCCTTATAATGGTCAGTAAATGCTGTAGTAAGAGACAACCAACACACCCATACACCACACACCACCACTAGACCATACTTAGTGGAAAATCAAATGGAGAACTAAATTCGTATGGATACAAATGATGATATCACAACAAGAAGTCAACATGTCAATTGATCATGTTTCTAATCAGCTAATTGCATAGAAAATGAAGAAATTAAGAAATGTTTCAAATATTTTTGAGAGGACAAATTCAACAAACCAGCACCCCAGAACAGGAAACAGTAGTCCAGAATCTTATGTGGATGTAATATGATCACCTTGATCAAACTTTATATCTGATATGCCATACCAGGCAATATCCAACACAATATAAAATCCTCTAAAAATTTTGCTTAATGATGACTAAATCATCGCGATAGCCGCGCCCCCTTTGTCTTTTTCCTTCCAAAGTGATCTCTCGCAAACGGCAGATAAGAGGGGCTCTGGCATACCAGAATGTGACTAAATAGTTTACAATTTTATTTGTTACAAATTTCCCTTGCTTTTTTTGTTCCTTCCTACTGTTCCTTTAAAAAATGATGCCTTACCATGAAGTTTCCATACTGTTAAACCAGTGTATTCCTTCAGTCATATGAAATACCTTGATGGATCAAGATGTGAAGTTCCTATAGAGAATGTTTATTGCTATGCTGTACAGATCTCCTCCAAGGTGGTATTCTACTCCTGTTGACCACTAAAATATCTGACATGTGAATAGGTACACATATACACATGCTACTCTGCGTGGTTCAAAATAATTGCTCTATTTGTTGAAATGTTTACACATTTTGCTCAGAAAAGTTCTTAAATCTTGCAGATACACACTAGAGTGTGCTGACTGAATAGCTGCAATTCTGAACGAGTTTCAACGATATTTACTGGATATTGTCCACCAACTTTGCCTTCACTACTATACTAGTTGAGTAGAATGCTCTATGTTTAAAGATCAGAATGCTGAATTCTGATTCTATAAGCATTCTTCACAGTTCTTGAATAGTATGTTCAATGGGGTGTCCCTATAGAGGCAATATTTCTGATTAACACCATATTAAAATAGGTGTATAAGAATATTGGAATATGAATACTGAAACTGTTCGCTCTAGTAATTTCATTTCATTTATACATATTTAGTATAAAATTCAAATCAGAGCACCTGGAATCATTTTTCATCTCAAGTACCAAGCTTTAACATCCTATGACACAAACACTATAGGACCCTACCCCATTTTGAAAATGCAACCATGTCGAAAATGACCAATAAAACTCCTTTGTTTCCTCATTCATGAAATTATATGAGCCAGAAATGTATTTTGATCACTAAATTACAAAGTTTATTTGAAACTTTGGATTCGTTACTTGATTTACTTGTGGGTTCCCATCAGCTTAATTTAATTCTACCCAGATATGTCATTATGAACTATGTTCCCTTTTGAAGGCATATTAATATTTTTATTTATTATGGCTATTTTGAAGTTAGTATTCCCTGCAAGGTATGTTCAAAGGAGAGTTTATTTGTGTTAGTCCATTGATGTTAATCGGTTGCGTGTCAGAACAAACCTTTTTACAACTTCAGTTGATTGAATGAGTTAAAAATCACACTCATTCATGACAGCACAAAGCTGGAAAGTAAAATATACACTTCAACAGAACAGGTGGATTTCCTCAGACCATCTTAATAAAAAAGCAATTTGCTACGATTACAAAATTCAATTTGTTCTAAGACTGTTTCACTAAAGCTGAGGATTGGTGGCGATTCCCAAATACGCTGCATCTCTTTCTATATAAGCAATTATGTATCAGTGGAGCAAGCATCTAACATGATAGTAGGCCTTCAATGAATAGCTTCCTTCTTTGTATTTCTTTCTGTTATAAACAACATTACACCTGAGCACAAGTCTGGCTTGAAACTGTAATTTGATCATTAAGAAACCTCAAAAACTAATTAAAAGTAAATAAAACTTGAGAATCATTTTCTCAGGAGAAAACAAATGAATAACACAACCATCCATGGGATTCTAAAGTAAAAGTTAACACTAGTTCCGCTTGTACATAAATATGTTAATTCAGCTCAGGAAAATGTAAGTACATATACTTTGGAATAAACTAAAGACTCCCATTTCCAATAAACCATTTTCTAGTTATGTGGTAATTGCAGTTATTAATTACGAAGTAATGTCTATTAGATAAATACATTTGGAACTTATGCCTCAGTATTTTAATTTCTTCATTTCCAATCTCAAAAAGCCATGAGAATTATAGCCAAGGATTAAGCAGAAATGCATAAATTAGAACAAATCTTTGTCTTACAGCCCATTCTCCTTAATTAAGTGTGTCATTAGATTTGCTCATTTGTAGTCCTATGTAGTACCCCTAATAAAATCCAGTGTTTTGAATTCCGCAGATAAATCAAATTGATCAAATGCATTTTATAAACATTTTCTTATGTCTACTGAATGATACTATAGTTTTGACATGTGGTTAACCATATTCCAATAATACAAATCACTCCAAAATATATAAAAAACACCACAAACTGTGGCTTCCACTCAATTATTCATAAAGAGAAAGAAGAAACTATTATTTTGTTCAAACCAAAAATTTGCTTTAATTATGTTGAGGATTTTAATAGCATTGATTCAAGGTAATAGCATTGATTTGAGATAATGGCAGAGTGGTTACATAACAAAACATACCACTAAATGTACCATGTTAAAATGTTGATGTAAGAGTTAATTTGTATGACTTTTTGGATGCGGTTGCATGCAGGATATAGTGGTATACCTCAAGTAAATAATTAATAGAACATTAACAAGCATCTATTATACAAGATTCAAGAATTCTATATTTCATTTATATCAACTAATTCACGCCCGGTGATCGTGAATATGGGACGGAGGGGGGGAGCAGGTAATTTCTGCTAGGAAATTCAACAAATCTGGAAGATTTATTTTTTCAAGAAAAAGTTTACTATTGAATTGCTAAATGGATAGGCGCACGGTATGGTAAAACATACGATATACTGAAACGATACGCATCTAAGGTATGAGATCTATTAAAAAAGGCGCAAGGCCATCAACAGGCACAAATCAATGTTTTTGCTATAAATCAAGCAACAATGGTCTGGACGACCTGTAATAAATACTTGTAAGTGATGTTATCATAACTAAATTAATATCATTGCTGAATTTATAAAATAAGTTTCCATATGTGAAATAAAAAATAATCGAAAATAATGAATTTGGGACGGAGGGGGGGAGGGGACGGAGGGGGGGAGCAATATGTATATAAGACATGATTAGAGATGTTTCGCGACTTTAAGTCCTTTTACTTCAAATGTCCCCATTTTTCAGTCTCCAGGGGTATATCATCCAGTTTCTTACTAAGTTAATGAGTTCATTTTTCAAACACAAGAATTCGTGTGAAGTTGTTTCACTTTATAGAATTATTACTCCCCCCCCTCCATCCCCTCCCCCCTCCGTCCCATTTTAATTATTTTCGATTATTTTTTATTTTACGTATGGAAACTTATTTTATAAATTCAGCAATGACATTAATTTAGTTATGATAACATCACTTACAAGTATTTATTACAGGTCGTGTAGTCCATTGTTGCTTGATTTATAGCAAAAACTTTGACTTTTGCACGTTGGTTGTGCTGCGCCTTTTTTAATAGATCTTATATCTTAAAAGAGTATCGGTTGAAAAATAATCCTAGAATACCTAACATATTTTATCATACCGTGCGCTTATTCAATTTGCAATTCAATCGTAAACTCTGTCTTGAAAAAATAATTTTACCAGATTTGTTGAATTTTCTCGCGGAAATTGCCTGCTCCCCCCTCCGTCCCATTTTCACGATCACCGGGCGTGTAATTAAGCTCATGGCAAAAAATGAGTCGAGAGGAAATAAATCAATAAAAATTTGATTATCAATAAATAATCTACACATAGTTTATTATCTGACATATGGCACTGTTGACTAGATTATTAATCATTACAAGACTAATGGGATAATATGAGCGTGACAAATAATCTATGAGAGCAAGGGATCTGAACCAACACCCTCATTTAGAGCTTGCATCTAGTTCTCATGACATGTTCTTACACCCATTGTTCTGAAACACCTAGTTCCCATCTGAACATGCAATTTTGTTTTTATCTGAACACACATCCTAGTTCTGAACATGCACTCCAGTTCTCATGGTTTAATCATTAAAAAGGTCAGTTTGATTTCTAATGAAAGGTAAAAATAAAGGCTCAGAACATGAAAAATACTTGCCAACTCATAACCAAATCAATAGTTCCCGCCCTACCCCCACTGTTCAATTTCAAAGGGCTAAACTGATTTTTAATCATTCAACCCAAAGGCCATGCACGGAACTAGAAATAAACTACAAATAATTATTCTATCCTGTAATTATAAAGCAGTACATTATTCAAAACAAAACAATGATGCAATTAAAAAACATAATTTCAAAACCTAATTTCTTGTAATTCTATAAATTAAATTCTGACATATGACATTTCAATCTCCAGCTATTATGGATGATAAGTGTTACTTGGGGGTGGCAACATGCCATTCTAATGAAGAGATAAATATGTTATAAACTACTATACTACAATGATAAGGATTCAATTTCCCATTGCGGCTTATTAATCATAGAAACATTTTACTGCTGAAATTTAGAAGAATTACTTTTGTTATATTTGGCATGTGTTTCCATAAATCAATAATGGTTTTTGTTAGAATATCATGATCCGTTTTGCTACTTTTGTTATATGGATAGATCGAGTAGTCAGAATCCTTTGTATCTATTCACAATATATATAACTTTTATATATAACTTTTATTGACATATTGTATCATAACATGATTACATTAGTCATAAACTACTCACTAAAACTACTATCTACTACTAAACTACTTACTAAAACTACATCTTTATAAAAATATACATGATTTGATATATTTACAGAAAGCATACAAGAAAGGCAAAATATTTTAAAGTGTGATGCACAAATTTTGCTGATTATTCTAAATTGTTAAATGAATGGTATATAAATTTACCAAGATGTCGTTGGAAGATGATATTATCATTAGAAATTATATTTATAAATATATCGTTACTATTCAAGTCAAATGTTGGTAATATTTCAGAAATTTTACTGAAAAATATTTGCCTGTGTTGAGAATGCTTTGTACAATTTATGATAAAATGAAATTCATCCTCCACACATTTACATATATTACACAACCTTTCATTAACTGGTTTAGGTTTGGGTTTTATGTGTCTTCCAGATTCTATTTTTAGCCGATGTGAACTTAACCTAAATCTACCTATTGCTAATCTATATTTTTTATTATCTAGTTTCAAATATGGTTCTAATTCAAAATCTTTCTTAAATAGCTTATATGTTCTTAATATAGGATATTGTAAAATATCATTTCTCCAATTATTTATAAATGCATTCTTTAGTTTCTTGTCAACCAAGTTTACTAAGTTGTCTGTATTTTGACTTTGGTCATCCCAATACTCTGTTAGTTCACATTTGTGAAGAATATCATAAACTTTTCCAGACCATGATTTAAACCCTAATTCATGTTTTTCTTGACCATATAAATAAGCTTGATTTAAAATATTAGATTCTGGTAGTTTTATAAGTCTTAACCAGTATTTTATCAAAGATAATTCAATTTTGATAGATAAAGGAAATCTACCGAGGTCACCATATACTGCAGGATTAGCTGTTTGAGTTTTGACTCCTAGAATAGATTTTAAAAAGGACAAATGCAATGTTTCAATAGATTTCATCTGTTTCTTATCATACCAAATCTCACACCCATAACAAAGTATTGGACTGACTAATGAATCAAAAAGGTGAAGAGCAACATCGGGTGGTACATCGTTGAATTTCTTATACTGTTGTTTGATTTTGAATATTGCCTTTCGTGATTGTTCTTTAAGATAAGCAGTGTTAATATCAAATTTATTGCTATCAGTAAGAATAACACCGAGATATTTATATTTATTTACACGTTCAATTTCTTGATTATTAAAAGTGAAAGGATCTGAATATTTAGAGTTAAAAATTAGGACCTTTGTCTTAAGGGTGTTGACTATAAGTCTATTAATTTTACAGAAAGCAAAAAGTGAATCTAATAACAACTGAAGTCCATTGTGTGATTCTGAAACAAGTACAAGATCATCTGCCCATAGTAGATGATTAAAATTGGCATCATTCAAAGTAACACCACATCTGGGTGGTAATATTTCATTTAAGTCATCTATGAAATGATTGAATAAAAATGTACTTAAAACACTTCCTTGTAAAACTCCTATTTCAGTGTCAAAAGTTTCCGTGACTCCATTTTCTAACTTGAGACATGACTTAGATTTAGAGTACATGCTCTCTATAATCTTGTACATTTTACTCTGTGGATGAATTCCAGATTTACATAGTTTATATAACAGTACCGAGCGATCTATGTAATCAAACGCCTTCCTAAAGTCAATCATACATGTATACAATGGTTTCTTATGCTGCTTGAATTTGTTAATTAGTGTTTGCAAAATAAAAATATTATCAGTTGTACGCCTATTTTCTTTATAAGCACCCTGAAGTGGGTCTGGCGAATTTTGCACTTCAGCATTAAAGACAAGACGATTTTGTATAACCGAGTCAAATAAATTTCCTATACAGGCCAGTACATTAATGCCTCGATAATTATCAGCTTGAAAACGGCTGCCTTGTTTATAAAGTGCACTGAGCATACCAATGCTCCAGTCACTTGGATATTCTCCTTTTTCAAAAATAGCATTAAATAGTGATGTAAAATCAGAAATGAGAGATTTACAATTTTTAATAATATTAGATGGAATACCATCAATACCAGCTGATTTGTTTGTATTCACTCTTTTCAAAGCACGCTGGACTTCGGCTTGAGTAATTTTCATGTTGACAGTATCATGACAAAGTTGTAAATTTTTATCTTCAGGGCAAACTTGATAATTTATAACATACTGATTCATTTCCTTGAGTGCATTGTCATCAAAATATTCTATATTTGGGGGTTTAGATAGACTTTTAAAAAAGTTGAATAAATCTTTAGGTGGAACTGGCATCTGTTTAATTTTATTTCCTGGCATTGCGTTTATCAGTTTCCAGAAATCTGTAGAGTATTTGCTTTTATTCTGAATTAAACTATCAAGCATTCCTGCTTTAAACTTTCTCTTTTCTCGTTGTTTAGTTTGATTATATTGTTTGGTTAAACTATTTATAAGATCATCACTAAATTTGTGTTTTATTGCCTCATGTACTTGTTTCTTTAAGGACTTACACTCATCATTGAACCATGAATTGATGGGAAAGGTGTGCATTTTCTTAGTTTTTAATTGTTTAAATTGAAATGTGTTATTAGATGCATAATGAATTACGTTAAGGAGCTTATTTACAAGTTCATCAGATCCAGTATCATTACATCCAAGTTCAGTGTAAAAAGATGTTAAGAGATCAATGCTAGTATTATCAGTTAATTTTTGTTTAAATTCATTTTTCTTCTTATGATCCCATTTGTATGATTTATATGTTTTAATGTTCAGGGGTTCTGATTGAATGTTTGATGATTTACTTTGATTTTCAATATCCCTTTTTAATGATAGAGAAAAATGCAATGGTGCGTGGTCAGATTCAACACGTCTATCATGCACTTTAAAATCAGAAAATAAGGGAATAATGTTTGATTGAGCTGCAACATAATCAATAACTGATTTTCCTAAGTTTAGGTCTGTATTAGATTTATGGGTAACATTACGATAACATGTGAATTTCCCTAAATTTTTGTCCTGATAAAGACGACCATTAAGTATAAAAAGTTGTGAAATTTCAGTATTTTCAGTATATTCAGATACCATATGTAACAATAATTAAGGTTCACTCATTCAGCTATAAGTCATTACAATAATGCTTCTCGTAGATATGTGATTTTCTGTGATCACCAAATCTCTTAGAAAATCACAATCCTTGTAAAGTCGACACAAGTCATTATCACAAATTTTTAAAGGAAAGGCACAACCATAATTGCATTTTCATTGACAGGACACAAAACAATTTTACCTGTAGTATATTGATTTCAGAAATATTTCCATCTCGATCTATTCATTGACCTTTAGAGGAAATTGAAAAGCAAAGTGTTTGTTAAGAAAATCATTAATAAAGATATTTGAGAGCCACTCTTATGATATGTTAAACACTTTGTACTGGAATAATTTCTCAAGGCAGCGATAAAAAACAAATAAGAAATGAAAAATATCTTAAATGCTGAAGATATAGATTAAATTCAGAGACTTCCCTTTCAAGTGACAAAAGAATATATGCTGACACGACTCCTTCACCAAAAAACAAACAAACATGAGAAAACATATGATTTAAATTCTATATAAGACTAGAGTATAGTATATGTGTATCAATCTGCATCTATATACATATATTATATATAGTCTAGTCTTACATCCTGGCATAATATGCTAGTATTCCATCAGCCCCTTGTCTTCCCTCTAAACATCTCAAATTCTCTATAGGTACATAGTTAGGGGTCCAGAGACTTGATACACGACTGATCATACATGCAATCAGGCCCAAATGTTGCAAGGTATCGTCTACCTTAATTAAATTCTAGCTAAAATATCCAGAAAACACCACTTCCTTCACCAGCAACAGCAGGACACAGCTACTTAGTTAGATTTATTAAAATACATTGACAGGTTTGGTAAACATGTTTGGCAAATACTTATAGGTACATGGAAGCGAGTCAGTCTATTAGAAATAATGTGGCAGGACCCCAGGGTGCCAATATCCATCAATACAATTTCGCTCAGTTGAAGGTCAATATCTTAAAAGTGAAAATAGCCAAAGATCATAAATTATTTGCCTGTTCAGTATTGCCTACCATGTCATCCATTCTTAGTCTAGGTTTTTAACTTTTTATGATTTTAGAGGTTTTCTTTTAATTTTTTTATTTTTAAAACATTCTTTTTGCCATTTAATATAAACAGCATGTTACCTGGTTATTTTTCTCCAAAACAGCCTGGTAAACAAGCAACAATTAAGCTGTAAGCTATGATTGACTTAACCTTTTATGATTTCAGCCATTTTCTTTCAATTTTTAAAACATCTATAGCCCACTAAAACAAGCAAATAACCTGTAGGGGAGATTAATTCCTGATGTTGATTGACTATTATGATTGACTATAGTCAAAGTACTGTGTTATGACAAAGTACTGTAACTTTTTGTTTTCTTAAATATCACACAAAAATGATTGGCTATGTTCTGCATGGCCTTCTTCGTTAACTAGCAATTATTGCAACAATCATTTTTAAACTTACCATGTGTCTGTTCTCCATATTACATCCTACTTCCCAGAGTTTTAGTTAAATGAACTTTAGGATTCAATAACACAGGTAAATGCTTCACTTAGTGCCTAATGAATAACTTACCTGTCAGTTAAGGAAACTGACATTTCACTAGGCATGACACAACCTGAAGATATAATTACCACCAGGTTAACTTTACATTAACCCAAACAACAGTGATGAATAGCGAGGCCAAGTGAGGCCAAGTGAGGCCAAATGCTTTGTTTTGCTCCAAACTCCAGAACTAAGAAACAAATTAAGTGAGGACTTCCAAAGGTGCCATTTAATGCATGCAGCTAGCATGCAATAAGTAACATTAAAAGCTGGAGATTATTCTTGTAGGTAAAAACCTTTCTATTGTTCACTCTTCCTATCGACCTGATCTTACAATGATGAATGACTTAAAGAGTGATTTCAGCTTAAGGCCAAGATTATTCTCTATGTTGAAAAATATTTGAGGCACATTGTTTTCAACAAGAACTAACAAGCAAGATTGAAACATAACAAAGAATCAAAAATGAAATTTCCATCCCCTTTTAAGATTGAACAAATTCAACATTCAGTACAGAACAATAACTTAGTTCTCATAATACTCGCCAACATACTTCAACAACTGCTCAGAAGACAAAAGCACAGCAAACAATTCTTCATTTAATGAATTAACATTCATAACATGAGTGTACTGTGAAACAATTAATCAATTTGGCAGAATAATGAGGTTGTTATGACCCCTGATGTTATGTTACTGTGACATTTCCCCCGCTCTGAAAATATTCCCTCATGGACTGTTCCTAACGTTGAATCAAAATTTGTTTTAGCCCTCCCCATCCTCTCCTTTAAATGGGACAAATATGCTTTACTTAAACACAGGCTGGGGAATGCATATTGGGGAGTGGGGATTAGAGATGGGAATAGGGGTTTGAAGCAAGAGTCTGCAAGACTAGGAATGTCTTTGCATATGGCCCCTAGCCTGTTCAAATTCCAATCATGATTTTGTGAGGACCTTTGTTAAAAACAATTAGAAATCAGTGAAACTTAGAACCAACGTTAATCACACAGATTTCTGATTGATTAAATGACTGATTGACCCTTGTTCGACAACAAATATATATTCTAGCTTGGAAAAGAAGATTAAACTGGTGACATTAATAATGATGAATGCAGGATCAACTGCACTTTCAGCTTTTAATTCCACATTTGCCTAATGATGTCAGAAAAAGTTCACTTTACCCAAAGAGGCAAATTAGCAAAGCGTGTCGATAGTAGCATATTACCCTGAGCATATAAACTTTAAACAAATCTCTGAATGGGTTAAAGAATTTTCTGTTTAGCAGCCCCTATTGCTGGTGGCCATCACACCCCAAGCTATAAATCAATTGAAACCCATTGGCACTGACATTTTCTCAACAAATCAGAAAGCAAAAAAACGTGTTTCAATAGTGTTTTAATGTTGGTCAATTCTGGATCAACTACAAGTATGACATCACAGGAAATTACCATATATAGAATATTGTCTTTCTGGTGACGACTACCTCTGATTTGCTACTCAAGTTCAGAGGTTTCTCTAAAATTTAAGAATTTTGAAGAGCTAAGTGAAATGAATACAGACCTAGACAATTCTACATATTCTAAACATGTTCATGTACAATCATATTAGTTATATACTATTTCTACCGAATTTAAATTATATGTTCTGTAATATACTAAAAATCTCACCTAGTATATCTGAGATGGATCCATATGTAACCAATTTTATTGCAACAGAACTTTCTTATTCTTTATATTCATTCCTGCTGGTTTCTGTATTCATTCTTATTTTCAGTTTCCCTTGCTGTTTCTTTTTATATTGAACCTATTTGTTTCACTGTATACAAAACAAATGAATGTGTCAGCTATTTCTACTACTGTAGGCTAACTCATAGACCTACAGAAAAATCCATATATTTGCTTGATTCATTTCTTTCATTATTTCAATTAATAGGCCTGATTGGCGCGAACAATGGTCTCAAGAATAACACATTCAAATTAATTACAAACCCCTTTATCTGATTGGTCAATATTGGAATCAGCTCAATGTTCGATAATACAACAAATACAGTCAATCAATACAGTCTATGTAACCTTGCTCACTATTTAAATCTAAATCTGCCTTCATTTGTGTTGATTTGAAATCATCATTTTCAGTTAGTTTTTTCTGATTTCATGACTTCATATTGTAATTTTGGTTTCCTTTCTCTATCATGTATTGTACTTTTGGTTTCCTAAAGTCCCTAAATGTGAATCCACTTTCCCATGTATCTAAAAACATTGCATAACTTAATCCATACATAAATAAATTATCTTAATTCAAAACTGGTATGAGAGCAATGTTGAAGAGCTTAAGAAAATAGATTTGTTATTATTGCATTTAAAGTGAGAGTTCAATTATTATTGCATTTATAGAGCAAGAGCTGGTTACGTATTTCAGTATTGAGAAACTGTGATTCTTATATAATAACAGCACCTCCAGATTTCACACAATGTTTCTTACAATATCAGATTAACCAGAATTTAGGAAAGAGATTATTTTGTGGAGTACCCTTACAGTTGTAGGAAAACATATTATAAAATATTATACATTTTAAGTATACAATTACTCAGTTATTATACTCAGATTGTGCTTCAAAAATCTCATTCAAAATCAGCTAAAAGAACCTCATGGAACAATTTTCTAATTTCCTTGACCATTAGGACACATTCAAATACAGTACATAAGAATATTTTGACATCACAGGTGTATCATCCAACACAGAGAATTATGTAGGGCTTGTAACGAACTTTGTCAAAAAGTTATCGAAGAACAAAATGGTCATTATTATTTTTGATGAGAAACAGAAAAGTAAAATGAAACCAAAAGAAAATAGAAACTTTTGAAATAATATAATGGGGGAAATTCAATACAAATGATGTTTATAATATCAATTATTAACCCGTTAATGGCTTAGGTTTCGGGATGTTTGACATTTTGACATAACCCCTTTACAATATAATACTAACAAGGCAAGATATCTGTTTCTACCACAATACCTCCCTCTATAACAGATTGCCCAACAAAACTAACAAATCCACCTGCTAACAAATTCCCCTGATGCAAAGCCCATCTTTAAACTAAAAATGAAAATAGGAAAGTCCTAACAAGGAATAATTAACAGAGTTATGAACAGATATCAACTTCGCATTCTCAACCTGGAAAAAACCTGGAAAAAACAGATTATTTCATCCGAATCAAAGAGACAGATGATGCATAATGAGCAGTGCAAAACAGCAATTTGAAGCACAGGGCAGTAATGGGATTATATCCATTGATTGTGCAATGATCAGTCTACCTGATTACCTTATGACAGTTTCATTTCTTCCAATGTGAAATTAACGAAATTTATAATGACCTATTTCCTTCTGCTTCATATATCGCTGCCCTGAATCAATTTATATTAAGGGTCAGGATGATATAAGCTGATGGAATTTATACATTCTGATTTTTACCCCACCTTCTTTGGCCCAACTAGATCTATTCATTCTGATTTATGATTGGCTCTCTTTATCCATTGCTTCAATATACTTAAGGCTGTAGAACCATCAATGAAACAGAATGAGTGATATTAAAGAGAATGGTCATACCGATTACTACAATGGAATTCACACTGAAGTTTCGTAAAAAGCCCTTCTGTGTAATTATTATATTTTTGAGGTAACTCCACTGCTTAATCCTATATGGATCAACATAAAAGCAGGAAATCTAATCTGTTACAAGATTTGAAGATATGTTATATTATATAATTCAAGGAATGTGATTATTTAGGATGTCAGAACTGATGTCTGTATCAGACTCTATCATGACTCATTTCTTTCTTGCAGCCTATCAATTATCCAATTCAGATTTATTTAGAGTTATAACCCCAATGAACAGTCTGAATTGTAATTTATAACAGGGAAACCACTAATGAATTTGTCATGTCAATTTGCATTTAGAACAAAATAATAGTATTTTTACCAATACAAGACTTCCCTTTCTAAATAGCTTACCAATTTTTTTATTTCTTTCCTTGAACTTTAATACAAAGATCTTGTGAATAAAGTTTTTAATATTTACAAATTATATAAAATAAATATGTTGTTTAATCTTAATTATTACAGTTATTAAGATATCATTAGCATATCATATTCATTTGATCATTTGTGGCTTGTTTTATCTATTATTAACCCGTTAACTGTAAGTATGCTTTACTTTACTAAGCATTTTTCTTTTTCAAGCTGCTACTATAATTTTTCAGTGTTTGTATTGTTTATAGGTGTTTTCACGTTTATGTGTCTGAAAAATAAAGTTTTATCTACACATGTTGTGACATTACGCCATTAAATAACCTAATTATATCTTAACCATTACAAATCTTCAACTGGCAAATTAATATTACTCAATCTTATACTTTATGGCAGTATATCACAATCCTTACTACTTTGTTTCACAGCACACCATTGCACATCATAGGATTATAGATTTTATCTCATGA